AGATGCTGTGAAAATTACACCAGTGTCTATGTAATCCAGTGGTGTTGACTTCCTATCTGCTTATAAATCAGATTCTTAATTACAGGTGTTAACTGGGCTTTCCATCTTTATTCCTTAAATGATGGATAAATTAACCTCAACTATTAATAACAAAGCAACCAAAGAAAAACCTTTCCAAGTTAAACGACTAAAATTAGCTATCTGTAGGATAACGGTAGTAAGTTCAAGGACTGAGTTTTATGAAATCCCTCATCTTTTTCTAAATCTTTCACCTTTCGGTTGCTGAACTTTGAGCATTTCAAAATTTATAGTCCTCTTGGCAAACCAGGTTTCTTGGCTCTGGGTCAAGGTCTGATATAGGAGGCATTCTGTACTCCTGGTTTTATGATACCTTCCAGCTTTTTTTAGCAAGTGTCCAATGCACTTATCTTTAATTGTCTAAACCTGAATTGCAGATACATAAAATTTAATAAATAAGATACAACTATTTTCTTACTTCCAAACACAGAACTCTTTTATTGTGTTTTCATTTCTATTTCATGCCATAGATTTAAATTTCTCATTATTTTGAAGTTTTGTAGGACATTAATAGTAACTATTTTGGAAAGAAATGGGATCAATTAATACCCCTTTAAAATACGTTTCTATTTATTTCAAAAAGAGGAAGGGAGAGGGAGAGGGAGAGGGAGAGGGAGAGGGAGAGGGAGAGGGAGAGAGAGAGAGAGAGAGAAACATCAATGATGAGAGAGAATAATTGTTTGGCTACCTCCTGCACACCCCCTACTGGGGATCAAATCTACAACCCTGCAACCCGGGCATGTGCCCTGACCAGGAACTGAACTGCAACCTCCTAGTTCATGAGTTGACGCTCAACCACTGAGCCACACCAGCTGGATCAATTAATATCTTTTTATGCACAAGATCCTGCAGTGTCCTGTGAATGGGAAATAATCAATAAGCTTGTCCCGTTCCCTCCTGAGGCTTAAAGTACTTTGGGATAAATAAGACATTTATACAAGGAACAACAGTACAAAAACTGCATTAAAAGCTTAATACAAAGGACACAATTTAACCTAGCTATGGGCTTTTTAAAAGAGAGAGATACTTGACCTGGCTGGCATGCCTCAATACCCTGAATCCCCGAAAATAAGACAGTGTTTTATATTAATTTTTTCACCCAAAGTTGCGGCACTAGGTCTTATTTTCAGGAGATGTCTTATCTTTCCATGTGCTAGGTCTTATTTTTGGAGGATGTCTTATTTTCGGGGAAACACGGTAGTTAGAGTGTCAGCCTGTGCACCTATGAGTTCAATTCCTGATCAAGGGCACGTACCTACCTTGCAAGTTGATCCCCACTCTGATCCCCACCACCTACCTCCCTGTTGAGTTGGATGCAGTAGGCAACCAATCTGTGTGTCTCTGTCACATCAATGTTTCTTTCTTTCTCTCTCTCTCCTCTCTTCCTCCCATCCACTCTCTCTGAAAAATCAATGGGAAAAAAAATCCTCTGGTGAGGATTAACAACAAAAAATAGAGAGACTTGATGATTTGAAGGGTTTAAAGGCCTTCAAAAAATAAACTAAGTGGGATTTAAATGGGACCATAAAGAATAAATAAGCTTTTTCAGGAGAGGGAGGGCAGAGAGTGGAAGGAAGGGTATAATAAAGACAGATACAAAAGAAGGAGAGGGCACAGCAAGTGAACAGAGAATTGCAGTAAAGAAGAAATGGAATATAAACCTCAGGTTGGGGGGGCTGTCATACCTTCAACAAAAGATACATTTAAAATATAAATAAAATAAACAAACAAAAACTGACATGGTCTGAATGAGCAGGAAGTAGTAAAAACCAAAGATGGGGAAATATTCAACCCATTATCTTTAATAATAAGGTTAGCAGGAAGAGCTGATTTAGGGGAGAAGATAAGTTGGATTCACTGCTAGATTTCATATGATTTTTTTTTAATATATTTTATTGATTTTACACAAAGAGGAATTGAGAAGGATAGAGAGTTAGAAACATCGATGAGAGAGAAACATCGACCAGCTGCCTCCTACACACCCGCCACTGAGGATGTGCCCGCAACCAATGTACATGCCCTTGACCGGAATCGAACCCAGGACCCTTCAGTCCCCAGGCTGACGCTCTTCCACTGAGCCAAACCGGCTTCGGCTTCATATGATTATTGATCAAACAAATAACATTAAACTAAGAGATAAAATTATGTATTTTCAAAATCTGGGCCCAAGCAAATTTGCCTTTGCCTTATTTTGACCCTGTAGCAGTGGTTCTCAACCTTTCTAATGCCGCGACCCTTTAATACAGTTCCTCATGTTGTGGTGATGCCCAACCATAAAATTATTTTCATTGCTACTTCAACGACCCACAGGTTGAGAACCGCTAACAGGGTCACCTAAGACCATCAGAAAACACAGATATCTACATTATGATTCATAACAGTAGCAAAATTACAGTTATGAAGCAGCAATGAAAATAATTTTATGGTTGGAGGTCACCACAACATGAGGAACTGTATTAAAGGGTCATGGCATTAGAAAGGTTGAGAACCACTGCTTTATAGTATGAGTCAAGAGTATGCTATTTGATTTATAATCCATCACATGCAAATATGTAAGGTTCTTGAATTTCGATACAACAGAGGTCCTCTGAAATAATATAACTTATTTTTTCAATGAGTTAATTGGGAGTCCAGAAAGATTAAGTGATTAGCATGAGATCATAGACTCTATGAGAAATAGAGGTAATACCAAAACATAGTCATCCACTAGTTTCTGAAACATTGCTTTATTCACATTACCTGGTTATCTTTTCCTTAAATAAAAAAATGTTCATGCATAAAGGCACACAAATAAATTTTTAGATATACTTTTTAAAAATTTTTTAAATTTCCTACCTTTGGGTACCCCCAACTCTCTCTGTCTCCAACTCATCACACTCCTTCTATTTAATACCTAATATGTCTTCTTCTGAATATCTTTAAAATTAATATAATCACATACAAACATATCTGTACACACACACACAAATAGCACATACATAGGTAGTGTTTTATGTCACTGCTTTACAAAAATAAAAACTTAAATAGTCTTCTCTGTACCTTGCTTTTCTCACTCAACCATACTTGGAGAAATCTCAAGTGAAAAGTTATAGCCTAATTAATATTTTTGTGGGTGGAGGAGTGGAGAAGCAGTTACCTTTATTTTTATTTTTTTAAATCTCCATTCGAGGGTGTGTTTTTATTGATTTTAGGGAGAGGAAAATAGAGGAGAAAGGGAGAAACATTGATGTGAGAGTGAAACGTTGATCGGTTGCCTGCTGTACACACCCTGACTGCTGACTGGAGATTGAACCCACAATCTGGGTATCTGCCCTGACCAAACCCAAACTTTTTGGTATAAGGGACAAGGCTCTGACCCACTGAACCACACCGGCCAGGGCAATCGTTTCTTTTAATGGTTGCATAATGTTCTACAGTAGATATATGTCTTGATTATTTTTGCTATTCCCCCAATTCATGGAGATCAACTTGTTTCCAGTTTTGCCTCCACAAATAGTACTTTAGTAAACATACTTGTATGTGTGTGTGTGTATATATATATATATATATATATATATATATATATATATCTCCTGATATTTTGTTTTTTGTTTCAATTGGGATCACTGGGTCAATGATATGTTTATTTTTAGTCATAAACATTAAACTGTTTTCCTAAGAAAGTTGTAACAATACACATTCATACCTACAGTTAATAAAAATACTTTCTTTAGCAAGATGTCTCCCCAGGCTATAGTGTTATAACTGTCTTTTAAAGTTTTTTTTTTTAAGAGCAGTAGGTACGAAGTAAAATCTAATTGTCACTTTTTTGCATTTCTTTGACTACACATGAATATGATCATCTTTTCATAAGCTTGTTGGTTGTTGGACTTTCGATTTTGCAGATTGCATTTTCATATTCTTTACCCATTTTTTCAGTGAGCTATTTTGTCTCCTTGTAAATTTTAAGAGCTTCTACTGTATTATACTTTTTCCTGTCTCCTAGAGCTACAAGCATTTTCCCAAAAAATCTATTGTATTTATTAATGGTATCTTTGCCACGCAAATTTTTTTTACTTTATTTAGATAACTATGCTTATATATACTTTTCTTATAGCTGATGTATTTTCTGCCTTCCAAAGGAAGTTTATCATCCCTGACCCTAAATTATTTTATGGTTCCTAGATTCTCTTACAGGACATTTCTTGATTGATTAATCTATCTTTTTGCTTTTTGTTTATTTTATATTTTAACCTTTAATCCATTTAGGATTTCTTTTTGGAATTGGTGTAAGATAAAGACCTAGTTTTCTTTTCTTTCAGATGAATAAATAGTTTGATAGTCCCTTATATTAAGTAATGCATCCTTTTGTCACTAAATTGAAATGCCTCTCCAGTTCTACATCGAATCCTCATTTATATGTGGATCAATTTCTGGATATTCTATTTAACAAGTCTGTTTGGGTCCTATATTCAATACTTATTGGTTTAATCAAAGTAGCTTACAGGATTTTCAGAATTTCTGATATCTGGTAAATCAGATTACACAAATGATTTTAAGGTAGTTATCAAATGCTTAGGCAAATACATTAAAAACCTATTTGCTAGACAGCAGTGGAATGCAAAATCAAACTAATATATCAAAATAACACATGTATAGTTAAAAAAAAAATTCCAAAATCTACTTTCCATGATCTGTGTATTTTTATACAAACAGATTTGGAGAGAAAAGATTTTTAATGCATGTATGAGCCGTTATACAAGCAACAGGTGTGTCTTCAATCCTTAAATGCTCTGTCATATTAATAGTTCTGTTTCCTTGATTCACAGATCGGTCCTTCAGAGGAGTCATCCCTGATCGTGTCTTCGCTCTGACCTAAAACAGCTTCCCAGTGGGACTACTGCTCGAGGGAGAGCTCCGAGGTTTCCCTGAAGAGAAATTCCATGGGGACTGTACCTGACCCTCTAATAATCGCTAAGACTTCCCTGATCACAGCTTCTGGAAAAGACGACGACCTAAGAGAGATACCGGCTGCCTCCCCTCTTCCTCAACCAGCCCTCCCGTGTAAGAACACCGATGGCGTTTCCGGCAAGCCTCCGGGAGCAGCCCTCAGCCCCAGGGCAGCTTCTGAGGCCCTGATGCAGGCCTGTGAGCATGAGGCCACACGGCCAGACATGTCTTCTCCTGGCATCTTCAATGAGGTGGAGAAAGCACCTTCCACACTCAACTCCCCTGGCAATACCCAGCGGCCAGGAGACAGCGAGCCCACAGCCCCAACCCCATGTTCTGCAGCAGCGAGGGATCTCATACACGCAGCCTGTACCATGCCAGCCAGCCAGCACACCCACCAGGCCATCCCAGGGGACCAGCCTAATGCCAGCGCTGCCTCAGGATCTGAAGACACCCTGGGGAAATCACAGGGAACCTCGGATGGAGAGCAATCCGAGATGCCGGGTTGTCCTGTGGGAGGCACTTGCCGCAGCAGCCAAGATCAAGTGCCCTGTGATTTTCCTTCTCAAGACACAATCCCGGGAATGGTGCAGACGGCAAACACAGCGCCTGGGGTGCTCAGTCACGCCCCCCCTCCTGCAGGGGAAGGGCAGGGAGCCATTTCCAACTCCAAGACGAGGGCCTGTGACTCTCCAGCTGGAGAAGACGGATGTTCAGGGAACACACAGCCCTCTGCCGCCACCTCAGTCACCCGGGCCGCAAGCTCTGTGACACCTCAACCATCCCACCTCCCTGGCGAAGGTTCGGCGTTTCCTCCGGAGCCAGAGGAGACGCTGCTGGCACCACGGTTCAGAGAAGCAAGCACGATGACCCATCAGGCTGAAAACGAGGTCAAGGATGTCCCCAGCAGGGCTCAGCAGGATGCGGAGGTGCAGGCCGTAGCGAGTGTGGAGAGCAGGTCGGTCTCCACCAGCCCCAGCATCCTCACCGCGTTCCTAAAGGGAAGCCCTGCTCCCGAGCGTTCGGAACAAGAGCAGCTGCGTGTCCTGTGCCACGGCAGCGGGAGCCACGCGCTGGAGCTGTCCGTCCACAAGCTGCCCCCCCAGGGGTCAGGGCAGTGCCCCGGCCTCATGCCGGAGGTACGCATCCAGGCAGCTGCAGCTGTCTCCACGGCGGCCCAAGGGGGTAGCAGATTGGTGAGCCTGCCAGGGGAGGTCCTCCAGACCTCATCCATCAGCAAGGCATCCAGTAATGCCCAGGACACGTGTACTGAGGATGGGAGGTCAGCGGGGATGACCCCAGGGATGACCTCCAAACAGCTTTCTGCTCATTCTAGCTCCCTGAAAGCTAGCCTCGCAGACCAGGTTTCCACCAGCACAGGATGTCAGGGTGAAACCAGTCACACCTTGGGGACAATGGACACCAGGCCATCAGAGCTGGCAGCGAAAACCACAAGTGGCCACGACTCAGACCCTGACTGCAAACTCTCCGCCTCCTGTGGCCCTGCCGGCCACACTGACCCGTCCGGGGGCTTGGACCCCGCGAATCAAGGAGATGCAAGAGGGAAGAAGCCTGCACCTCTCCCGACAGGAACAGAACAAGGACCCAAAGGCACGGATCTCCTGGAGGGGAAAGCCAGGGCAGAGGCCACCACCCTCCTGCTCCATCCTAAATCTCAAGGAAGCGGAGGCTCGGGGTCAGCTGCCAGTCCCATACCCTCCCCGGGAAGGAATCCGCAGGAGGGCGCCAGGCCGGCCACCAGCCTGAGCCTGCCGTCCGAGTCCATGGGTGGGGGGGACTCCAGCCCCAGTTCGGGCAAGAAGACCCCTTCGCGCTCGGTCAAGGCCAGCCCACGCCGGGCCAGCCGGGTGAGCGAGTTCCTCAAGGAGCTCAACGTGACGGCGCAGGCGGGGCTCACGCCGGGGGAGAAGAAGAAGCAGCTGGGCGCCGAGGCCAAGCTGCAGCTCAAGCAGTCCAAGCGGGTCCGGGACGTGGTGTGGGACGAGCAGGGCATGACGTGGGAGGTGTACGGCGCCTCCCTGGACCCGGAGTCGCTGGGCGTCGCCATCCAGAACCATTTGCAGAGGCAGATCCGGGAGCACGAGAAGTCCATCAAAGCGCAGAGCGGCCAGGCCCGGAGGTCCATCTCCTCGGACACCTCTTCTTCCCATAAGAAGCTCAAGGGCAGGCAGCACGGCGTGTTCCAGGCCATGCTGCAGAACTTCCGGCGCCCCAACTGCTGCGTGCGCCCCGCCCCGTCCTCTGTGCTAGACTGAGAGCGTGTGGGAGCCCCTGGGCCCCTGCAGGGCCTTCCCAAGGGTCCCTCCAGGTCAGAGCGCACTTGGACCCCCCATCTCCCCACCCCTCATCCCCCCAGACCAAGCAGAGAAAGGGAGTATCAACGACAGGAAACTGCTACCAAGAATTGTTGGGCCCTCTGATTGGAGCTCTGCGAATTAAAATACTTTTTTTCAGCTGGGGATCACACAGGGAAATGAATTTCACTCCGCAAGAAAGAACAAAGCAAGCTCCGCTGAAAGTGCTCCGCCTCCATCAGGAGGAAATAAGATCCGCTGGGTTTTTCATATGTTGTTGCTTAGAGAGCCAGCACTGTCATTACACGTGTGTCATTTTGTGTCACTGTCTCAATGGAACACACTACGGTATTTCCATTAGAAAATGGAAACGGCGTTGTGTTAAAAATACCAGAAACGCTATGAGCAAAGCCCCCCGTTACACTTTCTAATCCTGTTGCAACAAGGATGCTGTTACCGTGCACAATTGAAGTAGCTGATAAGAAACCATCACGAAAAAAAAAAAAAAAAAAAAAAAAGTGAAACAAAATTTGACTCATTCCTAGGCCAGAGGACATGAAGTAAAAGCATTTACATGCATAAGATACCAAATATGAATTGATATTTGTAAACATCTACAGAGAGTCATTTTTGTAAACCTTGTTATACATCTTCATAAATGTAAGGAAGCTAAGATAGGGAAATTAGTTATGCTTTTGAATATGAATACTGCCCGCATAACACATGAATTAATAGATACAGATTTTTTCAGCACCAAAGGCAAGATGCATCTCTGTGATTCAGACTAGATTAAATTCCCATTTCCTTACCCAAGAGGAAGTACATGTGGCTGAATTAGTGAAAAAAAGTCATCAAGTTATTGGTGATACTGAATTTTATGTTGTGCAGATGTCCTCCAAAAACATTCTGCTGAAATGTTAAGGTTCTGGTAAGGAATAATAAATAGCCAGTGAACAATCTTCTCTCCATGTTGAAAAAAAATACAGGACAATTTCCTGAGTAACAAAAACAGTGGGTTTCATTTAGACTGCAGTAAACAGGACACAGCTTGTGTGTTTCTTTTGATCTGGTTCAGTAACTTCCAATAGAAAATGTAGACCACAGCAAATAGAACACAAGCTTCCTTACCGTTTTGGGGTGTAGACTAATATCATGTCATTGCTTACGTTTCTAATCTATAGCAATAAGGTAACCTCTGCAAATGTTGATTTTAAGAGAAAGGCCATCATATCTCATCCTTCAAACCCAATAAAAGAGAGGCTCTTCCTAAAACACAGTTTGAGCTTTGGTCCTGGAGAACATGGGCAGCTGTTTGAGCTCAGCCCCTCCTGCTTCCAGAAATGGCCCTGTCCATGGGATCCATGAGTGTCTTGCAGGCTCTGGGCTAGGTTGACCAGCGGTGGCTTGAGAAGTGGGGTAGTGAGGAAGAGGGGAAGGAGCAAGGGCCCTGAAAAGGCTTCCCCTCCTGGATTCGTTGTAGGGAGATCGCTGTTCACCACCTTGCATTGAGAAAATCAGATTGTTAGATGTTGAAGAAGCACTGCTTGCCTTCACTAAACTCACTCTCCTAGAGGAGACAGATGGCCATGTATTCTCTCTCCGGATACTCATAAAGGCCATTTTTGCACGGACTCAAAGTCCTGTTTTGGCATTTTTTAAAAATTCTTTTTGGCTGATGCTGAACATATTGGAGGAAATCATACTTGAACTTTAACACAAGCTACGATAGACACAACCTAAATTAGTAATAGCCATGGATTTCTTTCAAAAACGATTGGACTGTATACAGGGCCTGCATAGTAGACCACAATCACAGCATTCTCAGAGCCTGAGAATGGTACTTAACGGAGGTTGTATTTGGAATTTATAATGAATTTTTTCATGATATAATTTTTAGTTTCTTAACAGTTGGCCTCTATTAAGAATGCTGTCTAAAGTAGAAATCGCCATCAAATTAGCAATCACATTATTATTTAATGATTAGAGATTTTGTCTAAGATCTCTTTTGGCCTTAAATATCAATTTGTAATTATGTTCATGTCAGAGATGCCTTTTCCAGGATGTAATCTCACTCCTGTCTCTCATTCCCCTTGTCGTCTCCCTCACACGTTGTCGCACGTGCTGTGTACACACAGAGAACACCCTGTGTACACAGTGGCAGCTGTCAGCAGCACCCACTGCAGCTGGGTGGGCCCCAGGTAATCCTCTGTGCAAAGTGGCTAGAACAGGCTGTTCCTGCATTAACATAGGAGAAAAGGAAGAATTCAGCATCTGGTAATAATATTTATTTTCATGCGTTTGGAGTAACCACATGACTTATACATAGTTAAATGAGGCAGAGGCCTCAAAGAGTTGTTGGCATTTGTTACACATTAAATCAATTTAAAATTAAATTAATTAGAACTAAACTTGGAGGTGTAGTTGCGCCTCTCGGTAAAACTTAATGTCTGAGAGAGTAACTTTCACTGGTTTTTCTTGGTGCTGGCGCTAACCCTGACTTCTTAATCTTTAATTCTTTATTATTTGTCTTTACTTCTGCCATACTGTAGAAATTGTCAGAAAATATTTCAAAAGCTTTCTTGTTTTGTTGTTTATTGAATCTTATAGAAGGAACAGCTTTTAAAAACAGTAACAGAGCCCAACCAGCGTGGTTCAGCGGTTGAGCATCAATGTTTGAACCAGGAGGCTACAGTTTGATTCTTGGACAGGGCATATGCCCAGGTTTCAGGCTTGATCCCCAGTGGGGGGCGTGCAGGAGGCAGCCAATCAATGATTCTCTCTCATTATTGATGTTTCTATGTCTCTCTCCCTCTCCCTCATCTCTGAAATCAGCAAATATATATATATATATATATATATATATATATATATATATATATATAAACAGTAACAGAAATAGATCATCAAATGGATAAATAAGATAAGAGCTTATTCAAAACAACCATGTTTTTACATTAGATATCCTGCGTACTCTCACAGAGAAACCTTGGTTTGAAATGTTGCCTTCACTTTGTGACACAGCATAAACATTCACTATGTCATTCATGACTCCTTAGGTTCACTCAATAAATGGGGTTGCAAAACAACTTTAATGGCAGACTCTGAGAACTTGTTTGGCTATTCCTTACCTGCAGGACACACATTGGGTTGAAAGTTGTTTGTTTTTGTCCTTAATTTCTTTGGTTATGGTTTGATTCTTCTTAATGCATTTTAGTTGTTGAAATAAATGAAGCAAGTGTTTTATTAAGTAAATAGATATGAAATGTTTCTTGAACAGCAGTAAAAGAAAGATGAGCTAGAACACAGAGTCTGGAAGGAAATGAAACATTTGAAATGTTAAGAGGCCAAGCAGCTTTATCAGTACACAATAGATGTTTTAATTTAAATCATGATTTTCCTATTTTTATGATGACAAGAAAATGCCATCCTTTCAACTGTCATATATTTATCTTTAATGCTTTTCTAATTTTGTCTTTCTTGGTTAATGGTTTTAATGCACAGACCAATTACTTCACATATAGTAAGCTCCTAATCAGCCTCTGTGTGTTTTGGATCTGTGGCATGAGTTGAATATTTTATTAAGTTAAAGCTAACCAGAAACCTTTTTGTTTGCTTCCAAAATAATATATTTATACCCTATCTGAGAATTATTTTCTACCTTAGTATGTATAGACATATTGAATATTATTTGATTTTTTATGTTTTTTTTAATCTTTAGAATTATCTGATACTCATTATTTCAGATACCAGTGTTCTCCATGCTATAGATTAAATATCAAAATTTAAATGAGTTTGACTGAATATGCATGTACAACACATAACCTGGAGCTTGAATTTTGAAACTGAATCTTAATAGGATTAAGCTATGGTCTTAAAATAGAAAGCCAGAAAGAAGTTCCTATCATTCTGGAATACCTGTATATACCACGTGAGAAATATACTATGACATGACTTTAAAATGTGTTTACTGGGGATCTATATAAGAATGCTATTAATGTAAATTGTTTGGCCTTGGCTGTATCTGCTCTGTTTTACTGCCTAAATGTGAAAATGTTCCTCCCACATATTGTACATGTGTTAAAAGATTTGTCCACTTCTAGTACCATATAACTCACCACATCCCTTGTCTACTTTTTAAAAATCAACATAAAGAAAAACAGTGCATTAGCATAAGGTTTGTATATATGTACATGTGTTTTTACTGAAAATTAGGCGCTTGTAGCCTTTCGTAGACCTCTATCTGTCTGATTGATCAATCATCTACAATGCTGCCATGGAGATGATGCTGTTTATTCTCTCCTGCTTTGTCCTAACTGGTGTTTGAGAAATGAGGCCTGTGAATTTCCCTTTGTGATAACTATACAGTGAACTCAGCAGTCTCTTGACGAATGAGCTGACCATCTTGTCCCCTTCCTTGTTTTTTCTATACAGTAAATCAGAAATCTTGTCCACGTTTGCTTCAGTATTTACTATTTTATATTCATATCTGAGCATTTGTTTTTTGTTAGCAATGCTTCATGTGTGAAGCCCTTTTGGTTGAATCGCTCCAGATGCTGGTCAGCTGCTGCCACTTGGCAAATGACAGGTGACTGCAGAATCTCCTGCCCATCCTTCCTAATGAAATTCTGCAACTGGCTGAGTAATTATAAATGTCATCTGTGCAGACACATGGACTCAGGATGGCTACAAAATTTTAGACATTTTTTCAGAAAAGGAAAAAATCATCTTATAAATATTGAAACAGATGCTTATGAACTTTATCCTACTCTTGGGGGGAAAAACTCTCCTTGGCAACAGAAATCAAATAAACTTGATTTGCTATGACCAAGGACCTAGATGGAGTGGATGAAGGTGGGAAAATTCTGTCTCACAAATAACCAGAGGTCATGATAACTACTTTTAACTGTGAACACTCACCAGCTAACCTACTCACTTGCCACAACCAAAAAACCTCTCTAAGT